GTGCTTTCTGAACCGTACACTATAGAGGAAGTCCTTCGTGCGTGAAGCCACTCCTGTGTCGTGCATTAAAAAAAGTATGTCGGTCTAAATTTGTACATTTCTCACACGAGCGAGTGACAAAACCGGTCTTCCGGAATTCAATGTGTGTAGGGCCTATGCGGGTTTTGAATCTCGCGCTCAGAAATCGAGTCACTTCAGCTCCCCTTTTTATGATTAATCTCTACAAAAGGCGAAACTGTCAATAAAATCTTTTGCCTGTGCAACTTTGTTAAAACCTTTTTTTGTCAAATTGCATTGATACCGGGTGAAAAGCTTAGGAAATAGAGACCGTTTTTTCCTATGAAAGTATTGAAAGGCTTGCTGGAGAAAGCATAATGTTAGTAGTATTTAACAAGTTCTCAGCGTGTGGATACGGGCTGTGTGAAAATTACTATACTAGAGGTTTTTATGACTCACTGCTTTCTTACGCTAGTTTTTTTTTAGGACTTAAGGCGTGGTCTAAATCCAAATTTAACAAACAATCGACTCAAGCTTCTTTCAATTTCAAGTTAATCTCTTTGTCTATCTCAGTGGTAGATTGTAGATAGTACAGGGCTATATTTTATTCTTACATTATAGGTCACCGGTGTCGGTGATGTAGTGGCTAGGCGCGTCCCTGTCCCTTGCAGAAGACCTGAGTTCGATTCCTGATAGAGAAGAAGACAGATTTTGTTTCAAGAATCTCGGTCTTTCTGCTGGGATGTTGTATGCCCCACAGTCCGGGTTGGCTCTGACAGACAGGGCTTTGAGCCCGCCTCCTAAATGATTTAAATTGTGCTGATGGGGGCGTAAAACACCTTCTATCAAGTACTGCTATATCATAATTACTACAGGTCTCTTTTTCTTTCTGATTTCCTCCTTGATTATCTCCACATCTTGAAACTGAGAACTGGAAACACTTTTGGGATTCTTTTTTGTTGCTGTTGGGTTTTTTTTCACAGATTGCTTTTATAGAGAGAAAAAGAGAAGGGGTGGAAGACATTGAGAGAGAGGGGGGGGGAGAGAGAGAGAGAGAGAGAGAGAGAGAGAGAGAGAGAGA